ACTGGCGCCAGGGCCAGCCACCGCACGCAGCCGGTGGTCAAGAGCGTGCTGGTGTACCGCAACGGGGACCCCTTCTTCGCGGGCCGCCGCGTCGTCATCCACGAGAAGAAGGTCTCCAGCTTCGACATCTTCCTGAAGGAGGTGACGGGAGGCGTGCAGGCGCCCTTTGGGGCCGTCAGGAACCTGTACACCCCGCGGACCGGGCACCGAATCCGCAAGCTCGACCAGATCCAGAGCGGGGGCAACTACGTGGCCGGGGGCCAGGAAGCCTTCAAGAAGCTCAAGTGAGTCCGCCAGTCCCACCGCCCGCGCTTTCTGGGTGCGGGAAGGTGTGCGGTTGGCACCTGGAAAGGGATGACCCCCGGTTCCCCCAAACCTCAGTGAGTGGAGGGGCTGTGACTGTGCGGGGGGTTGGTGCCTCTCAGCTCCTGTGGTTGGGGTTAGGGTTTGAAAACGTGACTGGAAAGGAATTTCACTTGGGCGTCAATAGGAACATCTTACAGCTTATGTGTAAGGAACAGGAATCTTAAAAAACAAAAGTGACCAAACGGACACTTGAGCATTTTCTTTCTTTTTTTTTCTCTTTCCTCTTTATTTTTTCCTTCTTTCCCTTTTTCTTGGAACCTGGCTTTTAGTTAAAATCATTTTTAAGTATTAGATACTATATAATCACCAGGGGAGAAAATTGCTCTCTGCATCCCTCCCCTCACCCCGTTTAAATTCTTTCAACCTTCCGTTCCCAGTAGAAGTGACCACACCCCACTGTGACCGTCCTAGGACTGCTCACAAGCCCCACGGTTATGCTATTGTCGTTCCCAGTAGAAGTGACCACTGTGACCATCCTAGGACTGCTCACAAGCCCCACGGTTATGCTATTGGCATCCAACTTGGAAAACTTGACTGGCTTACAGTATCGGCCTACAAGTCTGTCTCTAAGTACCTAATGGCTAGACCCTCAAGAACAGGGATCATTATTGCTGCTCATCCCGAGTTCCTGGCAAGGAGCTCGCTCAGTGACTGAGCAAATTGTGTTTAGGTCTCGGAGGGGAACAAAGATGATCAAAGCATGACTCCTTGTCTTTCTTTAGGAGCTTACAGTCTAGCAGGAGAGAGCCTACACGCACACCAATAACTTACTGTAGAGCATAAAGGAGTAAGTGCAATTAGAAAAACAACTCAAGTTATGTGGGAGTTCAGAGTTGAGAGAGATTATTTCTGGTGTGGGTGGGTATTGTAGGGAGAATTTAATATGCCATAGGTTGTTTTCTTTTTTACAGCTTTATGGAGATTCAGTTCATGTCACATGAATCTCACCCATTTAAGCGGGTCTTAGTATATTTATGGAGCTGTGCAGGCATCGCCACACGTTAATGTTACAACATTTCCATCACTCCCCAAAGAAAACCTGTATTTCCTAATTCCCCTTCACCCCATACTCGGGTAACAACTAATCTGCTCTGTGTCTTTATGGATATGTCTGTTCTGGATGTTTCACATAAAAGGAATCATACTATATGTGCCCTTTTATGTTTCTGGATTCTTTCACTTCACATAATGTTTTCAAGGCTCAGCTATGTTGTAGTATGTATCAGTTCTTCATTTTTTTTTATCATTGTATAGCATTCTATGGTATGGATATGCCACATTTTGTTTATATCCATTATTCAGTTGATGGATACTTGGATTGTTTCACTTTTGGCTAGTATGAATAATGCTTTATGAACAATCATGTACAAGTTTTTATTTCTCTTGTGTATATACATAGGAGTAGAATGGCTGGATCATAAGGAAACTCTATATTCCATAGTTTTTAATATAATATTTTAATTAAAATTCAGCTTGTGCCTCAGGATAGCAAAAAAAAAAATCTTTATCATAAAATCTATGCTTGTGATCTCTGATTTTAACTGTATATAAATATTTCCTGAATATCGCTGAAGTTGTCTACAGCAATGTCATCCTTCCTTTCCTAAGTTTGTTTAAATTGAGTTCTAGGTGTGCTGCTTTTGTTATGCCAGACAATCTTTTTAAGGGAGGTGAGGGATCCATTTGGATATGGTTTTCTGTTCCCTTAAAACTCCTTTAGTATATTTGTCTAACTTTGTAGAAAAGAACTAAACGAAATTGCCTGTTTCAGAGAAAGTTAGAACTTAAAACTGAAAATCAGGAGACTTGAGAATGAGTTGTTTATCAGCTCCTTGGTCGGCCACTTGACTCGGCTCATCAATTTCCTCACACAGAGAGGGAACATCATCATATCTGCCTCACAGTGTTATGATAAAACGTAAATGCTATGGATGTGAATGTGTTTTGTAAAGACCAAAATGTTACATAAATGTAAAGCATCACTGTGTCCAGTTCCTTTCATCATATACTTTGGTTATTTTCATTAAATAATTTCTACATAAAGCAATGTCATGGGAATGGACATCTGTTTCAGAATCTACTAACAGTTCAAAATTGCAGACTCACTTTAGTAGTTCATATTCTCTTTTGTTTATGTGGCACCAGCTCAAAAAATAAAAACAGGTACAGTTTCAAACCAAATAGAAGGTGCACTTCAAAATTGCTCTTTATATGGAAGAGATTTGCATGGTTATTCTTGCTTTTAATTCATACACACACGAAACTGAGCTTGTTATGACAGTTTCCATGGTTAGTTTTCCTTGCTGACAGGTGAATAGTTAATTTATTTGTGTTAAAGTAGTGGTATCCTTGGTTATACTGATGGAAGCCAAGAAGATTTAAATGCTGAATATATTGAAAGCTTAGCAGTTGTAAGTTTATATAACAGATGAACCACCTGGCAGAACAAAAGAAAGTCCAAAAGATATCCAAGTGTAATTATATCATTTAAAGCCTAAATGATGATGGGGAAGATAGCAATGGCGGGAAAATATTTTTCAAATGAAAATGATCAACTTGCTTCTTCAATTACTTAGATATTTTTCTAATATTTTTGAAACCATCATAAAACCTTCCTTTTATAGAAGAGAATTGTAGAAATTGTTATTTTCTGTGCATTTTTGGGAGTTGACTCTACTAGATTAATCTTATGGATCTGAGATCACTTTCTTGCACATGACAGACTTTTTATTTTGTCAGAAATCAGCCTGCAGATTTGCAAAAGAGCCATTTTTTGCTAAACAGAGGGAGTATTTACAATGCCTTAGGTAAATACTGTTATGTGAGGGAAACATATGATAATCTCCAGAGGTATAGATTAACTAAATCATTCTACCCAAACAAGCAAACAACAACAATGAAACTTAGCCAAAATTAATTATAATATAAACATTTTGGGGGAATTCAGCAATTATGGTAATTGAAGTAGAGAATCTACCTATCTATCTTTCTATCTGAGGTTATGAATTAAATGCTAGATTTATACTTATTTTTATATTGAAGCATTTATTTAGCACCTTCTATGTATGAAGCACAGTGGAACCAGAGCACAGTGATGGACTTACAGCTTGAAGTTGACACAGATATAAAATTTTCAGGTTGTGCTTATGCTATAGCTAAAGAATGATCACTATACTTAATGTCTGTAGCAAATTGTAATGGAATAACAGGGGTCTCCAAAGGTTAACTAGTCCACCCATTTGTCTGTCAGTTGAACCAATTACTAAACCATCCCATGTGGCTGAACATTTCTGTATCATTAAAGTGCTCTCTTAGGGAAAAAGATTTCCCAGCCTTTCACAGTTGTTACTCTATTGCATGCTATCTGTACTTTTTTTTTTTAAAACCTAAAGTCTGTGATTAATGGAACTCTTAAGCAGCTTTACAGGCAAACTATTCTTTATATCTAAATTACCATAAGAATTAGAAATACCATATACATAATAAGTAGCTAACCATTTCGGGAGAGGGTGGGGAAGTTCCCCAATAGAAGTATGTATTTCTAAGACTTCAGTTACATTGAAGTTTAGAGTACACATCTGTCAGCTCTGGTTGATGATGCTGAAATAATTTTCCACTACTATAATTACTTTTAATTAGTAGCTATTGTTTTTTTGCTGTAGGTTTAAGTATTTCCTGTAGTTTGCTTTATTACTTAATAATTTTTTAAAAAGAAATGTATATAACTGACTCAAACTCAATAAAAGAAACCCTTATTGTTTGTTTGTTTTGCCCTGCAGTTACTTGGACATTGGAGACATCAAGAAAAGACCAATGGAAATTGTTAACACAGAGGTAAAACTAGTAATATTTTGAAGCTTTAAGCAAATAGTAGTGCCATTTTTGTGTTTCTTATGATGTGTGCAGAGACTTAGATGCTATTCTAATCATAACAGATTAGTTGTCTAATGTTTATAAATGGGATGTTATATATTTTAGGACAAAGCTCACTCTTTCTTTAGAGCATTATCAGAAATGAAGAGACTGAGTAGGTATCCTAAACATGTAGGATTAGACACAACATGTTCTTGTATTTAGCTAAGTGTTTTAGCTATGTGTTCTCTGATTGAAATCCAAAGAAACTTTCCTGGCAAGTGAGAGGAGATTCTGAGCACCGTTATGCCAGTCTTTACTAAATCTACAGCCCTGTCTTCAATTGCTTCTGCCACCCTGTGTCTGAGATTGCCATGATCACCCTGACTGCCCCGAGGCTTCCAAAGGACCCTGTTGATTTCCCCATGATGTCAGGAGAACACCTCCATTTTCATTGGCATTGACGTTCACTTGAGCGTAACTACCAGAAGCTTGCATGGAGGTTGGAAATGAGTCTTGTGAAATAGATTTTTAAAGCACTACTTTCTATTTAGCTTCTGAATCCCTAGTGGAATTTTCAGATATCCTGTAGGATGTATTCTTTAGTTTGTGGGTGAAAAATAGATGAAAACAAAGTTAGGACAACAGCCTTCAATGTCCCAGCGAGACAGGGAAAATTATAGGTCAACCCAGACCGTTATTCTGTTCCCCAGCCCAGCCTTCCCCTCTTCCCATTTTGACCCATGTAGACAAGTGCTTCCAAGGTGTGTGGTGCCAGGCAAGAAATGGCTGGTAGAAAAAGCGTTTCTCTCATTTGTAGTGCAGAGCCCTATAGAGACTCCTCAACTCTCACCGTTTCCTCTTGCATCGTGTTTATGCCCAACATAGGTCTCTCTAGAAAACAAACAAAACTTCATAAGCAAAAATTCTAATTCTGCAATATTTGAAGAATATGAAGTTAATTTCATTATTCAAATAAATTGTAGAAAGAGGTGCTAATCCCAGACATTGTTAAATATAATTAATGTTTATAAGTTAGGTTTACAATGTGTGTTAAACTGCTTATTAATGAACGTGATAAGCTTTTGACTTAAAGTAGACAAAGGTATATGTTTTTTTTTTTATTGAGCTTATGTTGCCACTAAAGAATGAGCACTAGTTAATATCTATTGCAAGTAGTAAAAAAAAAGGAGAGATTAGTGAATTAGTTCTGGATATAATTTTGTTCGAAGGATACACAACTATTTGAAGTAGGCTATCTTGCATGAAATGGGTGACTGTACACGAATTTCTGCAATGGGATTTGAGATGTGTGACTTCTCCCAAAATGTGAGCATATATTTACTCTGGATTCCAGTGTCTTTGATGAAGAGATTGTGCCGGGCAAAGCACAAAAGGTGTGCAATAAATTTTTTGAATATACTTTTTTAAAAAAAGATTATGATTAACAATGGAAGCATTCACAAGGACTTGTGTTAATTTGCTAAGTCTTCTTACACTCTGGTGTAGTAGCTATTGTTTTCTCTTTACTTTGGACCTATGTGTGAGCCACACAGACAAGCTTCTGATTTATGAACATACATCTTACAGTGAAAAACCCACTACTTATCTCCAACTGGAATACTGTATCTCTTCCACTTTATTTCTTCCTGGTAATTCCCTCCCCTTCTCCTTCTCTCTCACTGCATCGGCACTGTTGTAGCCTTTCATTTCTTCTTAGTCCTTCCCTATAAAGCCTTCCAAAGGGGAGAAAAACAAAGAAGTAGAAGAAATTTGGGGACGCAAGGGAAATGGGAAGAGGTGGTGAAAAACTCCTTGTTCATGCTCTTCAGCACCTTCCCTCACCGCCCCAAGCTCCATGCTCCCACTTGCTCCCTGGGGCCCTCTCTCCCACTGTTGTCTGCCCAGACTTTCCTCCCAGGCTAGACAAGCAGTATGTCCACTTGGCACTTTGCATTCCCAGTCTTGATGGTCAACACAGAGATTCTCCTCCCCAAAGTCCACACCATGGATATTCCCAAAGCCTGCTTAAGCAAGGGGACCCCTGACTTTCATTGCCCAAAAGGGAGAGTTTTGGGTTCCTGGCATCTCAGAATGGAACTCTGAATGCATTTTCTCATAGAGATACTACTTTAACTGATGGTTCTACGGTATTATTATGGCTATTTTAGGATAGAGCACAAATTAAAAAGGCTTTTGTGGGCTGCTCTGAGAACCTAACTATTGTGTGTGAAATTCTTTGTTGTGCGTAATTCTTACTGTGGAGAGATACCTCTCTCTTTTCCTCAACTTATTTATATTCCAACCTTAGAATTCAGTAAATTTTTAAGTTAGAAGATATCTGTATTCAACATTTGAGAACAGACTTGGTCAACACTGGACTTCCACAAAAGTTTTAGATTCTGTTTTATTATTATTATTATTTAAGATGGTGATTTCTTTTCAATGTTTGTGTCTACTGAGAAAAGATTACACACCTTGTTAAATACTGTGGATAACCACTATTCTTCGGAGTAAGATAACATATTCTACTCCCAGTCACAGGGAAGGATTCACAGAATCACCTTTGAAGTGGGATTAGGACATAAGCTATAGATTTGGAAGGTTTAGAGTTTTTTCAGTGCAATAGTAGCACAAACAGTATTTACTCCAAGATGTTTCAGTACGAAGGTGAGTAAAAGTATTTATCAAAATTGGGGGAATTTCTCTCAAATCTGAGGTAATCTAGTCCTGTTTGAATTTTCAGTGCCAGGCTGCATAATAAAACCCACCATACCAGTATACATGATGCAGTTATCCTAACTGCTTAAAGCACAGTAACTCTAATGCTTTCCAGAACATGTTACTGTAGAAAGGCCTTCACAGTTAGATGGGATACCGTACAACATGTGGCATCAGGTCCCGGCCACCATGGCCAAGGTTTTAGACGTGGCAGGCAATGCAGCAGTGAGGACTGGGAGTTGGCAGCATTCCTTCCCTCCCAGAGCACTCTCCCCCAAGTGTATACCACATTCTGGTTGCTGTTTAGTTAATAATTTAGACACGATGTTTATCCACTTGCTGACTGCAGGTCACTGTCACTAGAATGTGCATGTCACCTTGACATGTGAAGGTCTTTTTGTGGTTCCTTCCTTGCACTTCTGTCCCATGAAGATCATCTTTGAAGACACACCGACAGTATAGTCAGTGCTCTTCCTCTTCCTCCTGGAGAGTGGTGCATACAGAGAAAGGCAGGACTCCATGGGCTTCTTCCACTAACCCAGGAGAAGCACAGGGGCTTATTTGGCCCACACGCCTGGCAGCGGGAGGAAAAGGAAGAGATGGATAAAAAGAGGGAGAAGAAAAAGGTGACAGGAATAAGACAAATGGGAGATGACTCTGTGGGGGTTTGTCCTGGCTCTGGAGACAGCAGTGTGTGCTCAGAGCAGACTTCCCTTCCCTCTCTCCACACCTGGCTTGGTTCTACTAACATTCAGATAAAGAGATCTCCCAGAGACCCCTGCATGCTCACCTCTGCTCCTCAGTCATTTTGTACAGCTATCTTCCTGCTTCCCCTACACCATAGAGTTGTTTTTCTCATCTTCTGACCTTGGTAGCTCATCCCTTCTGTACGTCTTTCCAGTCCTCTCTTTGCCTCTCATTCTCTGATTGCATGATGTATGACAACTATTACAGGGCACAGATGCTGGGCTAGAGGTATTCTCAGAGGACTGAGAAGGTACAAATGCGATAGGCGGTGTGTGTCAGCCGGTTTGAAATGGTTTTAAATATAACTGAATTTTTTTGGGGCCTGTTTCTTTTAAAGTTTTGAGAGTGTTCTTTTCTATACCTTGACTAAGGGGGATTACTTAATACTTTTATGTGTGAGTGAGTTGAAGCCTATCTCTGACTAAAAGAGTGAAAATTGACTTGGAAGGGAAGAGACAAAGGCTGTTTTGCCATCATCAAGTTTGGATGATAGACACCGAGCAAGCCAGCTGCAGTGTTAGCAGAGAACAGTGCTTCTCCCACAGTTGGGCAACAGCTGCACAAGGCCTTGAGGGCCCCCTATTGAAGGGATTATTGCTTTCTTACTGCTGACACTCCCAGACCTGCTTTGCTGTAATCATATTTTACTGGGGATCTTTAAGTGCTGAACTACCTTCACTTCATCAGAACCCCTACTTAGCCCCCATTTCTCCTAATCTCACCTCAAACCTAAAGCAGTCCAGAACTGCTCTCTGCTTCCCTTACCCTCCACAGCTCTCTTCAATGAGAACCCAAACCTCACTGAAGGTGATCCCTGCCTCTCAGTTCTCAGCATCATCCGGTGGTTTCTCCCAGTGCCACCCCTTGCTGTAGTGAGGCAGCAAATCTGATTTTGGTGGGCTGTGAACGGTGGGTTTGCTCCTGTTCCTGGTAGTCTTTACCAGCTGTGGGCAAACTACGGCCCGCGGGCCGGATCCGGCCCGTTTGAAATGAATAAAACTAAAAAAAAAAAGACCGTACCCTTTTATGTAATGATGTTTACTTTGAATTTATATTAGTTCACACAGACACTCCATCCATGCTTTTGTTCCGACCCTCCGGTCCAGTTTAAGAACCCATTGTGGCCCTCGAGTCAAAAAGTTTGCCCACCCCTGCTTTAGAGGATCAGGCGTTAATATATGCAGCAGAGATTGTAAGGTAGATTGTAAGTCTCCAGGAGGTCTGTTCACTCTGGATAGTACCTAGCAGGAATAGGCTGGTGATCATTTTAATTCTCTAGTTTTGAATGTTTCTTATCACACAGTTAAGGGAGATGCCTGTTTGCCTCGTGCATGCCTGATTATTCTGTAGTTCATATATGGGAGGGGTGTCTCAAATAACTCTACAGTTATCATGGCCACTACCTGTTCAGATTTTGTTTTAGGGATAAAATCAGTTGTAGTTAAACCTTTGTGTGATACATTTATTGCCGTGTTAGTATAATTTGGAGCTATATCACAGGACTGCTGTTCACT